AACTTTATGAATATATCATTTTCTAAATAGATTTTTCTCATCTTAGAAAAATTTGGAAGATCTTAAATTAAATTGAAAAACTGAGTTTTATATCAAACATCATCCTAGCTACTTCTTAGTTTTATAGTATCATGTAGTTTTTCTAATCACAGAAAACAAATAAAATAACTTTATTCTGGGTAAGTTCATAGATGGCATTCTTTGATATATTTCACCTAATATTAATGGCTCTTAGATCAAACGGACAGGTCGTTACTGATAATATTATCGTGTAGCAATGTTACCGGTTTTAGATAATGCCAATGAAGTCAGAACGTTTTAATATAACTTTATTTATGATTTTAATCATTCATGTTTTAAATTCAAAATAAAGATTTTCGTTTGGAATACTTGAATAATTTTTATGTACAGTTTTGGAAAATAATGTTTATTCTTTGAAACATACAAAATTTAATGACAGATATTTTGTTCAATGAATTTTTGTACAGTTCTAAATCTTCACGTGATAAACAGTAAAATATGAATAGATAAGTGTGACGGCTAACGTTTAAAGCAGTTATATTGAATTACTAATGACAAGATTAATATTATATTCTAGACAAAGTAGCCATTGTGCAATATACATTATAGAAATAATTTTTATAAGCTCTGCAAGAGGGCGCTAAAATGATTTAGTTGGTTTGTTTTAGATTACATCTAAACAATAAACTATCTACGATCTATCCATCGCAGGGAATTGAACACAGCATTTTGTTGTGGTAAATCCCTAAACTTAGTACTGACCTACCAGGGAACACCTAAAAAATGTGACATTGTGTTTTATGTGCCGTCAAGAAAATCGGACTAGTGAAATATTCAAAAATAAATATATATATATTTTTTTCATTTTCATTTTTAAGAGGTATAAAACGCTTATATAGATTCTTCCAAAGTCAGTAGTGTGCGGCAAGCCACTTAAATACGCAGAAAGTTTAATACATATTTTATAGATTTCTTTTGAGATAGATAAGTGGGTAGATAGATAGATAGAAAGGAAATACATATTAGTTGACACGTGGAGCAGGCTGTGGGTGTTATTTAAATAACGTTTTTTTTATTTTGTAAGGCTTAATGACCTTTTGCTCTACTGGCTTGAGCCAGCAAGCTGTACTCGAACGCTTCCACCAACGTGTTTGATTCCGACTTTTGTTTTTGTTTTTTAATGCTACTTAGGTTTAAAACTGAGATTTGTACTTAAATTCTTGAAAATCACAGCAAGAACATGGTAGAAGCCAATACCGTATTGTTGAATCAGATGTAGTGTTTCATCAATATTAACTCATTCGTAGTATGACTTACAGAGTTTATTGAAAAAAAAAAGTGACGCCCCTTCACAACGTAAGTATTAGTATTCAATCCGCTTATTGTAAGCAAATCCTAATAAAACTAATTTACATAACATCATATGGTTAATTATGTATTATTATAACTTTTAACCTAAATTAATACAACTATATAAATATATGTGTGTGAGTGTGTATGCATTCTTGTTAGGCATCTTAATTGTATGCGTTTGGCTGTAAAATATCTTTAGAAGAACATTTATAAACAAAAACTATCAAATTATTCTCTCATTTCTAGCAGACGCCTATGGTTTCTAAGTTTCACCATTCTGTTTTAATCTATATTTAATCAACACTTCTTTAAGATCTTCCTCCAAAGCTAATGCGATAGGTCGTGATTTTTTTAAATCCGAAATTAATGAAAGATATAAATTTAGAATAACGAAGGAGGAATTAGTTTCTTCTGGTTTAAACCTTTTTTTTTTTTTTCTTTTTCAGGAAAGAGTACTTATGCTGTAGAAATAATTCGAACATTACGTTAAGACATTACTAGCTGATTCAATATTTAGGTCGTCCGAGTAGTGATTTTCATTTGTATTGTACCTCCCCCCTCCGAGCTTCTTATGAGTTCATTTAAAATTGCAGTACTCAAGCAAGTTCTTAACATTTTATTTTTTTATTGGCCTGCAACTTATAGAAGGTCAAAAAAGGAAAGTTTGCCCTACCGGTAGATAAATGAACTATAGCTGAAAGCTCGCCCTACCGGTAGGTAACTATAGTTGAAAGCTCGCCCTACCGATAAATAAACGAACTATAGCTGAAAGCTCGCCCTACCGGTAGATAAACTAACTGTATTTAGCTGAATGTCGTTTTTTTTACGTGCTTTTGTTGAAAACGTATATAGTTTGAAAGAGTGGCGTTAACTATCACCGACTTATCTGTTATAGTGTGAGTTTTATTATCTAGTATGAATTATTATGTTAACATTTGATTTATATAAATCTCTAAATTTTTTCTAAAATAAATCTTAAAAAGACGTTGCCCAGTATCTATAAAATAAGTGGGACAAATTGTAATAAAAACATTAGAACAGTTAGAAAGAAATTTAACAAAAGAAAAAAAATCTTGAAAATACGAATTTAGATATAGATGAAGAAAGAGATAACTACACTGTTATAAATTATATACTGTAGCTACATCTGAAAAAAAAACATATATATTTAAAAAAAAAGTGGAAGGGAAAGTGCTTGGTATTTTCAACAAAAATAACATCTTACGTGAGAAATAAGGTAAGCGGCCAGGTCAAAGACCAATAAGGCGTAGCCACCTACATTCTCATACTACTGATGAAAAGAAGGGAAACCATTCAGAAGTACCTACCGCCATGCTACTACTTTTAACCGAATAGCGGTGTTGACTGTCATAGTTATAACTTCTTTCTTCACCCCACTACACACACCTGAAGGTGCAGAGCATGATCATTAGTATATCATGGTTCGAGCCTTGGTATTACGTGGGGAAACTGATTACAGTTAGGCAGCCAAGTAGGTAAAATACAAATTGATTTTTATAAATGAATAAAAAATAGGGTTCAACAAACTTATAAAAAACCTGATTTTAGGATACTCGTTGATATCTGTTAATCAGCATGTTAAAAATATAACAAACACGAAAATTAAACAATACTAAGAAAACAACTGCCACAAAGCGGGTTTTACCAAATCTACTTATGAACCCTGATTTGTATTTATCTTATATACCAAAGCTTTTATTAGTTTAACAAACATACATGTAAAAATGTGCTCACAACTGTTGTTTATTCTTTAGTTGCGAATATGTACATATTTATAATTTCATGATTAATGTTTCCATAAGTTTTGTTAATTATTGGGCATTAGTACCTTTTCTATTCGTAGTTACGAAACCATAGGGTGAATGGGAGATGTTAGATTAAGCTGGACATGTGTGTATTTTCTTATAGAAAAGCCACATCTGTTGTGTCCACCGAGGGGAATCGAACCCCTGATTTTAGCGTTGCAAATCCGAAGCCTTAACGCTGTCCCACTGGGGGACAAGTGGGATATGCTCAAATGCTTCTCATAATGAAAGAGTTAAAATGAGGTGTAAAACAAACTATACCAAATTCATCCACATCTACCCACTCACCTCTAATCTCAATTATTAGTTTGTAACATGTTCAGGTTTTCTTATCTTGAGTTTTTCTCATTAAAATAGTCTAATGCTGCCTATAACACACACATATTCCATTAATAATTATCTTATACATGGTAACAGAGCGTAAAATAGCACCTCTCAGACTACAGATGCGCTACTAATCTATCATTTTAATATGTTGATTGAACATTAAATTTTAAATGTTCAGTTCATGTGACCAAAAGAAAAAAATCACAGCAATATTTTGTGAATAGTATTTGCGTGACGTGGTAAATGGATCCAGGCGTAGCCTAAATGCCATTATGTCCGGATTGCTAGTCTGAGAATTCATGATTCGCTACCCTGCTGCAAAACACGTACTGAGCACTTTTGGGTCACGGTCGCGCTATAAGTGATTGTCAAGTCCCACTATTCAATCTGAGTGGAGTAGCTTAAGAGTTGACGGTGAGTGCAGATGTTTAATTGTCTTCCTTATAGTTATCACTTCAAAATTATGGACATCTAGGCGTATACAGGCCTTGTATTTCGTTTCGCAAAAGTCTGAAACAAATAAACGTAATATTTACATGAACGTTAAATTCTTATTTTCATTCATTTGGACAAAAATAAACTAGATTTTGAGAAAACATATTAATGCTTCCTACAGGTCTCCTCATAATATATGATATGATTGCCTGCTAGTATCTAAACTGTAATCATAAGCTATATAGCTGGAGTTTAAATCATAACGTTTTTTATACCCCGTTATTAAAGCTCGCTCGATGTTGTTATCGTCAGCGGTTTCAGGATGTTTCTATATTGTAAAGGATTTTAAGTTGAACCCAGAAACCAGTCGTCTTGGACTGAACAACAACCAGGATATATACATATATATATATATATATATATCATCAACAATAAAACGATAGAATTGAAGCTAAAAATGATGTTTATTACACAATTTTTTATAACTTTGCTACGTCCATTCCTAACATATGTTTATGAAGTTGTATGTGTGTGTGTGTGTGTATATATATATACTGGGATGTATGTGTTTATATATATATCTATATACTTCGAAATAAAAGGTATTTCAAACCTGGTGGCCCTTGGAATATATATATATAGTGTGTGTGTTGTTTTATAGCAAAGCCACATTGGGTTATCTGCTATGTCCACCGAGGGGAATCGAACCCCTCGATTTTAGTCGTTGTAATTCCGTAGACTTACCGCTGTCCCACTGGGGGACGATATGTATATATATATATATATAATAGAGAGAGAGAGAGAGATATTCACAATAAATATATACGTTCATGGAATGAACTTGGATTTCAAAATATTTTTCGTAATAGTGAAAAAACGTTATTTTATATTATTTCTGATAAAGTGTTCCAGACGAAATGATGTTCTATTCTGACAGCTTTTGTGTACTTATTTTTATGGCTACAGATTTCGTTTATTTTAGTAATTACTGTAAACGAACAAACTGGATGATGTACTTGTTATTTTTCATCATTCCAGATTCGAGAAGATTGGAAGTATGTTGCCATGGTGATTGATCGGCTTCAGTTGTACATATTTTTTGCTGTGACCGCGTCAGGTACAATAGGAATTCTTTTAGACGCACCCCATATTTTCCAGTGCGTAGACCAAGACAAGATTATTCAAATTCACACAGGAAAACCGGCGTGAAACGTGCGATTTCTGAAAAACAACCAAATCTAACAATTGTATTCAATTTGCTCCTTTGATTGAAAGGGAAAAACTCAATGAACCGCAAAAACTGGGAAGAAAAAAACGACAAAAGAAATTGACCTTTGACATCGATATTGTTCCAGATTCCTGTGCGCGATAATAACCGTGGACACTACTGTCATTGAACCAGACTAGCATGTATTTCTTCCTGCCTATCTTCCACAGATATTAGCAACTAGGTCTTCCCTCCTAACACTAACATCGTTTTTTTTTTTTGTTTATTTAGCAAAGCAGGTCTCAACATTACTATAAAAGGATGCAAAGAAAAGGTATCCATAGGTAATCTGAAGGTCTTGAACATCAACAAAATGTAGAAGTCCCTGTGATCGCTTACTGAATTTTAAAAAGTATTGGGTTTGTTGTAAAATCAAACCTTTTCCTGTTTTGTAATTTGAATTCCCCTTATAACCAGTTCGTGTCTCAATATAATTATATGTGTTCCTAAACCAGACAGGTTAAGAGTGTTTCAACACAACAAAATTGAGTTTCGTATGTTTTCGATCTGTTGTCGAAGAATTATCGTCAAGAATTCCTTGTTGTCTCCAAGGCTTCTCCCTGAACGTAACCAAAGCCTTCACAAACTAGAACTCGATACACCGAATGGTGTAATAGCCGCATTGTTAATAAAACACATTTCCTACTGCTCAAACGGAAATATCAAATTGAATGTGAGGAAAATGTGCTATCGTTAGTCTTTTATCATTTTCAAATCGATGTGGAATAACGCAATCCGACCCTGACAAAATAAGCATCTTGTTATTGCGCAGAGTCTTTGATAGTTAACATGAATGGATTTAACAATAGGTTATATCGTTTAACAAATTACTTGGAACTCGTTTTAAAAGATGTGTAAGCTCTGAAGTAGTTATAGTAATACTGTGTATATCAATTAACCCGAATAGATGTTTTCCAAGTTTTTATTTCAGAGCCTTCTCGACTAGAATTATAGGAAAATATTACGTCATCATTTTACCACAAGCAAAGGATAATAATGGTTAACTTACGTTTAAAAATATAAAAAAACAGTAAAATAAAAAAAAGGCTTGTTGAACGTCTGACTTTTGTATCTTTGAAGTTTTATATGGAGGACACAACTTAAAAGGGCAAGAAAAAACTGATTAGATAGTTTAATTAATAAACTTTCATAACTATTGCTTACTGTATTGTTTCCAACACCTTGCAGTATTAACGCTATAAACATCGAAAAAAAACATTAAGTAACTTACTATGGTTTTAGTTTATGACTGGTGCACACAACCAGGAAAAATCTGACTATTATAGTGTATTTTAAACCAACTAAGAAGCTGTTAAGTCCCGATACATTCAATTTTAAGTAAAATTGTTTCTCTGGAAGGTATCTTCGTCAGCCTGAAGACGATTTCTTTGAGAAATTTATCATGAATGCTGCATATATAAAAGTTATATTTTATGTCATCCTTCGACGATCTGACAGTTGAAATGAGTTAACATTGATCTCACTTTACAACTGATATACATGTAAGTTTTATTTTATGTCATCCTTCGACGATCTGACAGTTGAAATGAGTTAACATTGATCTCACGTTACAACTGATATACATGTAAGTTTTATTTTATGTCATCCTTCGACGATTTGACAGTTGAAATCAGTTAACATTGATCTCACGTTACAACTGATATACATGTAAGTTTTAATTTTATATATATTTTTTGTAATGATAAAATTATTCATAGAAATGAACCAGTACTTACAGCTCTAACAGAATTAATATCCGATAACTTAACAAATATATAGTTTTTAGCTTAACCACAGACTGATCCTTAGTTTTAACTTGCAGTCATAATTAAAACGTGCTATTAAACTTCCTATTTGACGTTAAAAATATTTAGTATGCTCATAAAAGATATTTATTATAATTTATAATGACTTTTTCTTTCTGAGATAAAATTAGCTAGGTTTTTCATTATAAAGATGACCCATACCAACATTATATTACTTATAAATAAATTAGCACATTTAATGCTAAAATGAAGGTCATTTGTTTTATTCTAAAAACATCCTACAACCATCATTGATGCTTAAATATTAGTAATTTGTTTAAAACTCAAATTACTTTACAACCAGATGATATTAATTACTTAGGGACTGATATAAATGGTGCTAAATGAAAGTGATTTGCTGCTTCATATTAACGAAAAAAATATAGAAAAATTATTATAAGCCATCGAATAAAGAAGAGAAACTAACGATAAACATCTTGAATTAACATACATTTCCGGATTCTAATTCTGTTTTCTAGGTTAACCTGAAATTTTAACCATTTATAACTACTGGTGATCTCATATATCAATTTCATCTTAATAAAATTTTAATTTTTTTATTTGATATTTTTAACAACAGGTTCCTTAAGGTTGATCGTGTATGGACTTCTGTAACTGAGAGATAATATCCAAATTATAACTGACTGTTGATTGTAGTATGCGAAAATTCTAGATTCCAGTATGTTGAGCAGGATCGTTTGCAAATAAACACGAAATACCTTTAGTTCTAGCCTTTTTTGTGTTAAATTGTTAGATACAGTTCAAACTTCCAAACCATACACTATTACCGTGATTAATGGGCACATCTCATAACATTACTATACCACACAAACGAGAAAGTTAAAACTTATTGAAAATATTGTCTACTTATAGCTTGTACTTTACGGCATAATCTTGATATTAATAATAAAAAGACTGCCAAAAAACATTGGTGTAGTTATTGCCTATACAACACGTTAAAAAATGCTGATGGTATTCTTTGAGCCAAAACATAAATCAGTTGATTTTAAATTCAGCAAGTGAAATAGATCTGTTTAATGAATTTTACATTGGTATCTCTGTCACATGCATCCATAATTATTCTAAATGTTATAAAGAAAACACCATAAGCAGGTTAACAGTCTTGAGAAGAAAAAAGTAACTCAGAATCCAACAAAGTATGGGTAAATACTACTTACTAAACTATGAAATGAAAAATATTGAAACTATACAATTTTAATTTTATCCTTCATCTAATTGCTTTGATATGGTGACTCTAATAAATTATAAGCATATCTGATATTACTTTGAAATTGTGATCACAATTGTACATCTGATGTTTTAAGATGACGATTCTGATATATTCTCAACAAATTTGATGCTTTGAGATGATGATTTTTTAGATTACAAGCATATCCCATGTTCTCACATGGTGTGGCCATGTTAAAGTATAAACAGGAATTATGTTTTTGTTGCTGTTTTTTTTTGTAAAATTCATGCTAGTTTCTCAACATAAGGAGAGGTTGAGTACGTTAAGCTAAAACAATTTTGCTAAAACGTCATTAAGATCTATTTCACCACGTTCATTAAAGCGTTATGACAACTGTGAATCTTGACAATAGCACTGAAACATATTTTCTAAGGTTGCCATGTCCAATGTACACCATTACATTTTGAATTATTACCATAGTCTATCTAGTTTATTCTGATCAAATAGAAACTCATTGATTTGGCAACTTGTGCCACTGACCTTTGCATTCGTGGGTTCTCATCTGTTACAAAACGCCACATTTTGTTTAGCAAGGCTGAAATACGACTTGTTGAAGGTCTATTTCTGAGTGGTCCTAGAGCCTAAATTGATCCACGTTCCTCTGTTTACTAATGTCATTAAATATAATGGATAATTCCGTCTTAGACATTTCTAAATCCCCGATCTGAGTGCATCTAAGTCTATAAATATTTTGCATGAGCAATCAACTTTCTATGGGATCACACTACCTACGAAACGCCAAGGGATACCAAAATTGGTTTGGGTAGTAGCGTGACTTACTGATTTACATATTCTAAATTGTTTTACTATAACGTACTCACTCTCTTTAATATCTCTCGGTAATGATGATATATATTACAAACAATCAGATACTTTGAGATAATGATCATTAAATCATAAATAAATTCGATATTCTGATAAGGTTGTTATGTAAGTTTATGAAAACAACCGATGTTGTGATACGGTGATTGTGCAAATCTATAACCCCTAAATGTTTCGATATGGTGATTATTTAAGATGATTAACACATTCGATGTTCTAATATGATATTTATATAAATTGATTAACACACTCAGTGTTTTGATATGATGATTCTATAAGTTGTTTAACACACCCAATGTCCTAATAAGATGGTTATATTAGCTGATTGTATAAATTTATTAGTACACCAGACTTTCTAATATAGTGATTGATTATTTAAGTTGATTAACACTCCCGGTGTTCCGATATGGTGATTTTACAAGTTGATTGATACTCTCGGTGTTTTGATATGGTGATTCTGTAAGATGATTAACACACCTGATGTTCTGAAATGATGATTGTGTAAATCTATTAGTGCAACCGATTTTCTAATATGGTGATTGTTTGTGTAAGTTGATTAACACTCCCGGTGTTCTGATATGATGATTTTACAAGTTGATTGATACTCTCGGTGTTTTGATATGGTGATTCTGTAAGATGATTAACACACCTGATGTTCTGAAATGATGATTGTGTAAATTTATTAGTGCAACCGATTTTCTAATATGGTGATTGTTTGCGTAAGTTGATTAACACTACCGGTGTTCTGATATGGTGATTTCACAAGTTGATTGATACTCTCGGTGTTTTGATATGGTGATTATGTAAGATGATTAACACACCTGATGTTCTGAAATGGTGATTGTGTTAACTTATTAGTACATCCGATTTTCTAATATGGTGATTGTTTGTGTAAGTTGATTAACACTCCCGGTGTTCCGATATATGGTGATTCTGCCAGTTGATTAACACATTCGATGTTCTGATATGGTGGCTAATGTGTAAGTTTATGAAATCATCAGAAGTTATCGTATGGAGCCTGCGTTACATCATGAACATACTTGGTAAGTTTGAGATGTTGTGAGTTTCGAAACACATCTGATGTTTTAAGATTAGATTTATAAACACACTTGTCTCATACGGGAGTCAAACTGCTGTTAGCAATGATGCAGTTTACATTTCAAAAACACCTGCTGGTGTTATTTCTATAGTTTTACTCATGCTGTGAAAAAATCAACCCAAACTGTTACTCCTGGGACCATTAAATAAATGTAAACACGTCTTTAGTTAAAGTTCTGCAGCTCTTTAATAGTCGTATGTAATGATCATTAACTTTAGCATATATTTTAGTTCCTTTTTGTTTTTCGTACTGCCCCCCAGTGGCTCAGCAGTAAGTCTCAAGGCTTATGATACTAAAAACTTGGTTTCGATACCCGTAGTAGGTACAGCACAGATAACCCATTTTGTAGCTTTGGGCTTAACAACAAACAAATCCTTTTCGTAGTTATGATATATATATATATATATATATTAAACATTTTCTACTATTCGTATTTGTAAAAACTTTACCCTAATGTTGAGAAACAGAGAAACATTAGGGAACTAATTAACACAAATACGATCTTTACCAAGGATTTTATTTCAAAACTATTGAAATTTCCTTAGAACAAAATAAACTGAAAACTGTAGTAAGAATCACCCGAACGTTACACCGCTATAGTTATTTTATTTCTATAATATTAATGAACACCCTTGTGGCTCATCAGTAAGTCTAAAGGCTTATAACGATAAAAATTGGGTTTCGATACTTATAGATGGCAGAGCAGAGATAGCCCATTGTGTAGCTTTATGCTAAACCACAAACAAATGAAATATTAATGAAAAGCTATAAATATAATATATTCAATCTAGAAGTTAAATTACTATTTAATATTTCTGTTTAACGAAACTTTATCAGCAATATTTACAGCAGCAATAGTTTTAAATCTTCTTCTTCTGGCAATTTATATAGAATACAAAATGATGTCATATTCGAAGCTCGAGCAAATTCGTGTATTAGACAGAAAAACTTAATATTCTATTTTACATGAAAAGGCGTGCTGTAATGTTATTTATAGTTTATTTGTTTAAAGCCTAACTAAATTACAGCTAAGGCTGACTCGTAATTAAAGATATAAGAAATCTCTCTTTCCCCTAAGTTAAACGAGAAAAATTAACCCCCAAACTTACTAATACAAAAATAGATCTAATTTTAACGTTATGTTTCAGATAATTTTATCAATGATAAATATCAAAGTAGAACAATTTCATAAAAGTGTCAATCGTTTTACTTTCTTTCTTAATCACTCAAGTAAGAACAGCATTGTGAATTATATCTAGAAAAGTGCCAGTGGTGATTAAACAGAGAGAAACGAGACAGATTGCTTGTTAAAGAAAATTTCCGAAGTTCATCTCTCTCCACTACACAACAGTACTGTGTCATTGTAGATCTTGAATCTTGTACTGAA